AGCGTTTTCCAGTTCTCTACATTATTTTTACTTTTTACTAGTTATTATGTTCCTGTTCTAACATTAGTTTTTTGTCTCCCTTGTTTTTAGAACTCTTCAGTTTCTACAAGTTCCCTGGCTATGAGGTTCCTATCATCCGTGGATCTGCCTTGTTATCCGTGGATGGCCATGGTTATCCTCCCCCTCCTCCTGCTCCTCATGCCTCTCACTGCTGCCCAATTGTGGCCATCCTGTGGCGAGAGCGGCGACTACAAATCAAATAGCACCTACGAAGCCAACCTCAAGCTCCTCTCAACCACCCTCCCGAAGAAAGCAGCGTCAAGCACCAACCTCTTCGCCACCGACACCGTTGGCAATGTTCCGAATGTCATCTTCGCCCTCGCACTCTGCCGCGGGGACTCCAACGCCTCTGCCTGCGAGGGCTGTTTGGTTACCGCCTTCCAGGACGGGCAGGAGCACTGCGCGAACTATAAGGATGCCACCGTGTACTACGATAGCAATCCCTGCATGCTCAGGTTCTCCAACCAGAATTTTCTCGCCACCACTGTCAATGACCATATACTTGTCATTGTGAGCATCGAGAGCTTGATGATGAACATCCCGACAAGAGCCGACTCCTTCAAGCTCTTGTTGTTCACGCTTCTGAACAGCACGGCTCAATCCGCCGCGAACAGCTCGAGGAGGTTCACCACCTCGCGCTTAGACGTCAACTCCTTCCCTACGCTCTACTGCCTTATGCAGTGCACGCCAGACCTGACCGCCAACGATTGCACCGCATGTTTGCAGCCTTACTTCCAGTATACAGTCAAATACATGGATGGTAAGAAAGGTGGTCGAGTACTGGGGACACGGTGTACCATGAGGTACGAGATATTCCCATTCTTCCAAGGGGACCCCATGCTGCGTATTATCAACTTGGTATCTGAAGTTCCGGCGATCAACAACACCACGCCACTGATTACCGTGAACCCATCTCCACAGTCGCAGTCGCCGTCGCCAGTTGCGGCACCACCACCTCCGGGGGCGCAAGCGACCACCAAAGAAATTCATGGTATGTAAAAGTCTCATCCTTCCCAGCAGATCCCTGGCTGGACATGACATCTCGGCTTCAGTTAGATTGATTAATTTAGGTAACATGCCACACATCTTGTGTGGAACAAAAATTTTAGACAAGTACACCTGAGCTTAAGAATATATGAATAAAAAGAAATAAGTAGAAGAACTAAGTTAAGTCAATAACGAAGAAAAGGATGTTTATTGATAAGGGGAAAGATGCTAGAGTCAGAATGGTTCAAAGGTCAAAGGGGGGCGACCCATGTTCAATTGGTTAATTGTGGTTGAGTGAGATGATCCACAACCTACAACTGATTTGTCATTTCCTCTATCACTAAATAAATTAGTTTTTATACTTATATGAAAACTATATATGACTTTGTGTTTTTCTTAGGACGCAATTCACACCAGAGGCCACTCTGGATTATCGCTGTGGCAGCTCCATTACTGTCAATATTTCTCTGCGTTATCTGTTTTGTTGTATGGATGAGAAGGCGAAGAAAAGGTTTGTTGTTATCACTATTACAACATTCCTCTAAGAAAAACTACCACTTATTTATGTTGTCAGCCTTAACGTTGTATGTGTGCCCCCTTAATTTAGGAATGGAAATCTTACATGATCAAGCTGCCATGAATAGGCCGGAAGAAGACGCGTTGGTTTGGAGATTGGAAGGGAAGAGTTCAGAGTTCACTCTGTTTGACTTATCTGAGGTATTGCGTGCTACACACAACTTCTCCAAAGAAAACCTACTTGGGAAAGGTGGTTTTGGCCCTGTCTACAAGGTAAATGCATTGTCTTGAAAAGATTCAATCATATGTTCATTCTGAAATATATATTAACTCACGGTTTCCTAAAAATCATCATTATATACTTACAATAGCACTAATTACAGTAGTCCAATCTATAATGAATCATACTATGATTTTCCTAGTTTTGTAAACTACCTTGGAAAATAATATAAGCTCTCGTATCCACAATGGCAGTTATCATATCACTCATCCTGTACTAGCAACCTACAGTGAAAAATGCGAAGCCGCACGCTTTCCATTATATTATCGATGCCCTAGAATGAATTTTTTTACATACAATTGCTTGATCAGCATATATTATATATAGCCTAAAATCCAGTTTTATAAATGTATCTCAACCAAATATGATTAGCATAAGAAACCTAACGTAGCCCTAAACTAGAAAGGAAAAAAATTAAGAAACTCTTGATAAAATGTTTATTTTGCACTATTCAGCAGTGGACTGAAACTCTGAGGAAATAGAAGTAATGCACTCAAATGGAATATTAAGGCCATGTACTGGATATTTTGATGTTGGTATGCTATTTGCTGTATATACAAAAAGTCCTTTCCCATGGATGGCATTTAATCCATTTTCTGTAATTTCAGTAAAATATAATGCCTCCAGTTTTGTACATACTTCCAGGGCCAGTTACCAGATGGAACAGAAATTGCAGTTAAAAGGCTTGCCTCACATTCAGGACAGGGTTTCACAGAATTCAAAAATGAAGTTGAACTTATTGCAAAACTACAACACAGTAATCTGGTCAAGCTCATGGGATGCTGCATTAAGGGAGAGGAAAAACTTTTGGTGTACGAATATTTGCCAAATAAGAGCTTGGACTTCTTCATCTTTGGTACGCACAATGTAGTTTAACCATATTTTGGACCGCGTTTCATCCGTACTATAAAATGCACTCTCTAATCTGCAGATGTTAGCCGAACAACTTTGGTTGATTGGGAAAAACGGCGTGTCATAATTGAAGGGATAGCCCAAGGTCTTCTATATCTTCACAAGCACTCTCGATTGCGCATCATACACAGAGATCTCAAGGCCAGCAACATTCTCTTGGACCAGGACATGAATCCTAAAATTTCTGATTTTGGGCTAGCAAAAATTTTCAGCTCCAATGATACTCAAGGAAGCACAAAGAAGGTGGTGGGAACATAGTAAGCGTATGAAACAATTAATCAGCTGATTCATCAACCTTTAAATTTTTGATACAATATTTTACTTGTGCCTACAACTCATTTCAGTGGTTATATGGCTCCGGAGTATGCATCTGAAGGCATTTACTCGATCAAATCTGACGTTTTCAGCTTTGGCGTGTTACTTCTTGAGATCCTTAGTGGAAAAAGGAATTCTGGTTTCCATCAGCATGAAGACTTTCTTAACCTCCTTGGATATGTGAGCATTTTGCGAACTCTCGCACACGTATATCCATTACTTTTTCGACCAAAGTCACTTTTTTCATGCTGACAAATTCTCTGCAGTCATGGCATCTCTGGGAAGGAGGGAGATGTCTTGAGCTTCTAGAAGCATCGATTGTTGAGGAGATCCATGCAGCGGAGGCTAGTAGGTACATTAACATTGCGCTAATGTGTGTACAAGAGCGCGCAGACGATCGACCAACCATGTCGACTGTCGTCGCAATGTTAAACAGCGAGAATGTTAGTCTTCCAGGGCCTAAACATCCGGCATACTTCAACCTACGGGTATCCAAGGAAGATGAATCGGGTAGTGTTCCATACAGTAATAATGCCGACACCATCTGCAGTAATAATGACTTGACCATCACTGAGGAGCCAGATGGCAGATAATTGATCACTTTGATTCAGTTGTTGATGGGAATGCTAGCAATCAGACAGCAGGCGGGCAGACCAGGTCAAGTGAACTAGGGCAGACCAAGTAAGCCTATCATATTTTGGTTATGAAGGACGACGACCGGCGTATCTCTGTAGCGGTTGTTCTCTCCTGCGGTGAATGAAGCTCTGTCGGTATGCATAGGCTGTATTGATATGTGGGTTAATACTGTCATTATTACTGCAGTGGTGGTCGTGTAGGAAAAGCATTACGGGTAGTATTTACTAGCTTTTGTGCACCGCACCATCGTTTTCCACTGGTGGCTGCTGCTGTAGACTTTAAAGGAAGACTTGAAATCCAAAGGATTTCAATCTGATAACAGATGCATTTTTGCACTGGTGGCTGCTGCTGTAGACTTTAAAAAGAAGACTTGAAATCCAAAGGATTTCAACCTGACAGCAGATGCATTAACTGAATCCTGCTGGGTAAAGTATGTGTTGCATCTATATGCGCCTTCCATGTTTTCTTCCAAGATAATTCCATTGGCATGCATGGCTAACTAGAATATTGGTATGCCTGTTAGTATCATGGAAACCTCGACGTAACTGATAAGGTTCCGGTGCTGCTGTTTGAGGTCGTAGCAGTTACACACTGTTACGAAAAGAAGCATTTCCGTGGAGTTGTCATGATAAGACAAACACGAAGGAGATCTTTTGATATTTATATCCTGCTAACGGTGGATAAGTTCATTGACCGTGCAGGATTTAAACTTTGAAGCAAAATTTAAAATTTATGTGGCAAGTTTGTACCTTCCATGAGATAAGTAGTTATGTTTGTATTTTATATTATTTTAATCATATAGTATGAAGTGTATAAATATATATTTTGGATACTTTGAACAGACCAAATATGATGACCTGGCAACCTGCTAGTTCTTTCCAACAGCACATTGTATTTTTCTACTACTTTTATCGTTTATAATAATGTGCTTGTCTTCATATGCCCAATTCTTGGGTGGTATACCTAAGAATAAGGTGATATTAAAATAAAATGTACTGTAATTATTTAGGACGCAATATAGCATCTCAACTACGGTAGATACAATGAGTAACAGCATCGACCAAAACATCTATGCGAGGATAGATACACTTTATAAACGTCTCAATATCTTCTAGACAAGCTTACGCTGCGCCTCTATGAGTTTTGACACGGTGCATGGGGACGCACCCCTAAGCACTTTACATAATGACTACACACATGTAGGGATGAAATTAAGCGTCTTCAGCAGATAATGTAGCGATAACATCTAGAGTTCGGTGTGGATTAGTGTACAACTGAGATACAAAGTTATCAACTATCTTCCATTTGGGTCTTCGGTGATGGTTACATCATTATTACTGCATGGAACAACCTTAGATACTCTTACATTGACGTATGCAGGAGAATTAGGCTCTGGAATAATAACACTCTCGCTGTTTAACATTGCAACAACATCTGACATGGTGGGTCGATCATCCGCACTCTCTTGTACGCACATCAGTGCAATGTTAATATACCTTCTAGCCTCTGTTGTATGGACCTCCGTAACAATTGATACATCTAGAAGCTCAAGCCATCTTCCTCCTTCCCAGAGATACCATGACTGCAAGAAGCAAATAAACTATTTTCATCACATACATGATAAAAGAAACATCAGTCTAGAAAACAATACACTCGTATGCGAGAGTTTAGAAAATGCACACATATCCAAGAAGGTTAAGAAAGTCTTCGCATTGATGGAAACGAGAATTCCTTTTTCCACTAAGGATCTCAAGAAACAACACACCAAAGCTGAACACGTCGGATTTGATTGAGTAAATGCCTTCAGATGCATACTCCGGAGACATATAACCACTGAAATGAGTTAGAAGCACAAGACAATATTATATCTAAAATTACAATGTGGTACATTACCTAAAAATGGTATTGTAGGCACTATATATGTTGTAATTTGTAAAACAAAGGTATGCTTACTATGTTCCCACTACCCTCTTTGTGCTTCCCTGAGTGTCATTGGAGCTGAAAATTTTCGCCAGGCCAAAATCAGAAATTTTAGGATTCATGTCCTGGTCCAAGAGAATGTTGCTGGCCTTGAGATCTCTGTGTATGATGCGCAATCGAGAGTGCTTGTGAAGATATAGAAGACCTTGGGCTATCCCTTCGATTATGACACGTCTTTTTTCCCAATCAACCAAAGTTGTTCTGTTTTCATCTACGCATTAGAAAGTGCATTTTAGAGTATGAATGAATCACAGTCCAAAAATACGAATAAAAACTACAATGTGCGTACCAAATATAAAAAAGTCCAAGCTCTTATTTGGCAAATACTCATACACCAATAGTTTTTCCTCTCCCTGAATGCAACATCCTAAGAGCTTTACCAGATTATTGTGTTGTAGTTTTGCAATAAGTTCAACTTCATTCTTGAATTCTGTGAAACCCTGTCCTGAATGTGAGGCAAGCCTTTTAACAGCAATCTCCATTCCATCTGGTAATTGGCCCTGCAAGTATGTACAACAATAAACTGAGGCATTTTATGGTAATGACAGAAAGAGGATTAGTGGCCATCCATGTGAGGATATAGAGCATCACATATCCAATACACGTTCTTAACATTCTGTTTCACTGCATTACTTCTGTTTCCTTCTGAGATTTAGTCCCCCGTCGAAATAGCACAAAATTATATAAACAAGTTTATCAGGATTTCCTATTTTTTTGTTTCAGTATATATATATATATATATATATATATATATATATATATATATATATATATATATATATATATATATATATATATATATATATATATATATATATATATTCGGCATGCACACATGAATGTATTGGTTAGTGACCAGCCAACTCTTAGCTTTAAGCTGATCATGATTTAATATATATTTTGGAATGAACATATGCTCGAATCTTTTCAAGGCAATGCATTTACCTTGTAGACAGGGCCAAAACCACCTTGCCCAAGTAGATTTTCTTTGGAAAAGTTGTGTGTAGCTTGTAATATCTCAGGAAAGTCAAAGAGTGTGAACTCTGAACTCCTCTCCTCCAATCTCCAAACCAGTGCATATTCTTCCGGCCTATTTGTGGCAGCTTGATTGTTTATGTTTACCTTTCCTAAATTCAGAGAAATATCCACTGTTAATTTGGGTCTCAAACCAGGCAAACTACATCAATAGGTGGTAGTTTTTTTTAGAGGAACGTTCTGGTGAATAAATCGTCATGTCAACAAACCTTTTCTTCTCTTCCATACAATGAAACAGATAAAGCACATAAGTATTGACAGTAGTGTAGCCACCACAACAATAATCCACAGCGCCCTCTTGCGTGATTTGCGTCCTAAAAAAGTATAATTCATGTACAATTGTCATATGTAAATAAAAACAAATTCATTTAGTGATGGAGGCAATGAAAAATAAGCTACACCAATTAAACATGGGTCTGTGCTATTTGACAAGGAAACTTCACCTATTTCATTGACATTTGAACCGTTCTAACATCTTTCCCCTTTTCTTTTTGATTGAACTTCCTTTTCTTTTTCATTAACTTAACTTAGTTCTTCGACTTATTTCTTTTTATCTATCTGTTCCTAGGCTCAGGTCTACTAGTCAAAGAGCATCTCCAACAGCAGACCAAAAAAATGACCCCAAGACCTAGAAACTGCAATTTTGGGTTTGCTGGCCCAAAAATGGTTCCAACAGCAGAGCTCAGACTGCCAGCGGAACAAATTGTTTTTGGTAGCCACCTAAATTTTCCTACCCAGGACTAATATCTGGGTCCTTCCTACCATCCTACCAAATAAACCCGAAAGCATGCCGCCAAGCTCAACCGTCGCTTGGTGACGAACTTTCGTCGCCGCCACCGCGAACCTGCAATCCCCGACAAGTTCGCGCCAATGCCGGTCGGTCCGATCCAATTTTAGCCGTCCCACCGCTCCCGGCGTCAAGTCCACACCGCCGGATTCGTCCCTGCTGCCCGTCCCAAGCTCCCCACCGTCACTCCGAGCTCCCACCGCCGTCCCCAAGCACAGTGCCGCCACCACCCCTGCCTTCCTACCAAGCCCCATGGAAAAGTGTCGCCGCTCCGACGTCGCCATCCCGAGCTCCATCGCCACCCCGAACTCCGGGCGCTGAGCTCGATTCTGGTCTTTGGCGCCTCCGGATCCGCCTCGCGGCCCCACGGTGTCTGATCTTTATGTTTCATTTGCTTTTGAAAATTTGGGTATCCAGTTTTAGATATGTTGTAAAAACAGGAAAAAAATCGGCTACCTAAATCTTCTCTCTTCTCACAAAAAATGGATTTGGGGGTCAAAATATTGGCTTGACGTTGGAGATGCTCTAAAAGTGCTAGTACCACATATTTATAAAAAGCTAATTTTCATACTAATGAAAATATTCAAGTACCAGTTTTCCTTGTAAGTGGAGATTGCCACTATGTAGAATACAATTCTTAATTATTTCCAAGCTTCCTTCTTGTAAGTGGAGTATATCACTATAAGTCACTTCCGAGTAGAAGTTCCTTTTTCTGTTTATGTGAAGCCGTTGTGTGAATTTTACATACCTTTATGTTCTTGGCCGGTCACTTTTCCCTCCGGGGGTGGCGCTGCATCTGGTGGCTGCGATTGTGGGTACACGGTAGCTGGTGTCGTAGTGTTGTTGATCGTCGGAACATGCGGGGCCAAGTTGATAATGCGCAGCGTCGGGTCCCCTTGGAAGAATGGGTACATCTCGTACCTCATGTAACACCGTGTCCCCAGAACTCGGCCACCTTGCTTACCACCCAGGTACTCGAGCGTAATATTCAAGATATCCTGGAAACATGACTCGCAGTCGTGGGGAATCAGATCGGGCATGCACTGCATAAGACAGTACAACGTCGGGGAGGAACCAACATCTAAGCGCGATGTACTGAACCTCCTCAAGCTATTCGCGGCCAATTGAGCCGTGCTGTTGATAAGCGTGAACAATAATCGCTGGGTGATGTCGGCGTTTGTCGTGAAGTTCTTAGTGTTCACGATCATGAGTGGATCATTGACGGTGGTGGCCGCGAGAAAATTCTTGTTGGAGAACTTGAGCATGCAGGGATCGTAGTACACGGCGGCATTCTTTTTGTACGGGCAGAGCTGCCGGAGGTCCTGAAACGCGGTGGTTACACAGCTCTCGCAGGCGGAGGCGTTAGAGTCCCCGCGGCAGAGCGTGAGGGCGTAGACAACGTCCGGAACATTGCCCATTATGCCGGTTGCAAAGAGGGTGGTGCTGGACGCTGCTTTCTTCGGGAGGGTTGAAGAGAGGAGACCGAGGTTGGCTTCATAGGTGCTATTAGATTTATAGTCGTCGCTCTTGCTGCAGGATGACCATTGAGCAGCGGCGAGAGGCACGAGGAGCAGGAGGAGAGGGAGGAGAGGGAGGATAACCATGGCCATCCATGGGTGACAAGGCAGATGCACGGATGGTTGGAACTTCATCGCCAGGGAACTTCTAGGAGAAACTGAGGACTCTAAAAAAATGAGACAACAAAATTATTTTAGAACGAGAACATAATCAACTAACCAGAAACAATGTAGAGAACGAGAAAACGCGGGGACATACCTTGAAGCTCCAGCTCCACAAGTTCTACTTAAGTCTGGATGATGGCCGTGTACCTCAAGAGATGCAGAGGGGTATTCCTTCTTTTCAAAAAGGAAAAAAACTGAAGTCTGGATCATCAACAAGTGATGACACACCAACCTAAAAAACAGAGGGAAAATGTCCATCTTGTCACACCTGCAAAGACAGCACATGGTGGCCATATCCCGTGGTTTCTCTTTCTTAATGCTATTGCTGGCAAAAATTCACAGAATTTGAAACCTGTGGAGCTAGAATAATATGCTCTTTTGTCTGCGGCATCGCGCCATCAAGATCACCACCAACCACTTGAGCAGCTCTAGTGATCAGGTTCTAAATATCACGCTGTAAAATTGTCGTGCAAGCATCAGAGAAGTGTGTGCTCGCCAATTAATAAGAGATCCAAATGCTCAAAATTTCAGAATTCAGATGCCATATGTAGCCCTTCAGACATCAGGGGTTAAGCTGGAACTTTAGGAAGTCCACTCCAAGCCAAAACACGCTTGGATAGGCACCCGAAAATTCTCAACTCAATAAAGAATCTAGCCCCGCAAAAGAAAATTTTTAAGGGCTTACGCTTACCACTGGATTATGGATTGGGACTGTAGATAGTTCGTTGAGGCTTATGGATTATGGATCGGGGCCTATTCGACCACAGAGCTCTGCATTGCAAGAGAAGCTGTCTTAAACCATGAGAAAAAGGGGAGAGAAAAAAAGGTGATTTGGTACAGAGCTTACCACAGGAAGTGGAAGGACGATGGCATCGCCGGAACGTGACCTCCGCCCTCGTTCCCGGCACTTCGCCGCCGGCGCTCGCAAATGTATCCTCTGCAGTCTGCTCCAGGGGGCGCAGCCAGGAGATAAATCGTGAGCCTGGGAACGGAGGGAGGAGCAACTCGAATACTCGATTCAGTGGAGGATGTCGGCGGCAGTGGAGGACGAGGAGGGCAATGATTGGTTTACTGCGAGTCTCCGCCCGTCTCTCTCCCAGTGCCGACCAGCTAGCTCAGTAGGCTCACATGTGCGGTGCGGGTTCTCTTTCGTGTCAGCCTTGGCCGCGTCCACCCTATCAATAGCCGCCGCAGCAGTGTAGTAGTACTCAGACCACATGGCTGAAAATGATTTTGGACCTGTTTAGCTCCTAGCCATATCTTGCCACACTTTATCTTTGTTTTCTGACACATGCAAACTCCGTCTCGATTCTCTCAACATAGCTGATCCAAGCCCAAAAAAAATCATCTGGTACTACTTTTAGGGGCTGTTTGGATTGCGTTTATTTTTATCATATATTGCCATGTTATTTTTGCCACACTTGTCTTACTTGAGTTGCTTAAATTGTTAGTCACATTTTGACTTGCCTAAAAAAATCTTGCCACACTTTTCGACGGGTCAAATTTGCCCATTGTGGTTGTAAATGCCCTAAAGGCATTGAACTTTGAAATTCAATCAAATGATTTCAGGCTGGCTTTGCCCGTCATAGTACATTAAATAGTTAAAACTCAGCCAATATTATGGAGATCAAACAAAAGGGCTTTGTTGGCAGCGCTACGCGTCGTCCAGCTGAACTCGCATCGGAACGACCGCCTCCAGAGCTGTTGGACCCCGCATGCAATAGCTGTTTTGATTTGAGCGGCGTCAGTTGCGGTTTAGGGTTTGCAGCATAAGTCATGTTGCGCTTGGTTTACAACATGATCCATGTTGAACCCTCTTTGCAAACACCTGACAGGTTTGAAGGGGTTTGCAAAATGAGTCATGCTGCGCTTAGGGGTTTGCAACATGACCCATGTTGAGATTGCTTTCCAAACACCTGCAACATTTGGGCAGTTTTGCAACATGAGCCATGTCGTGCTCGAGGTATGCAACATGACCCATGTTGTGCTCGCTTGTTGCAACAGTGATGGTGTTAGCGCAGGTCCTTTCTGTAACTGGCATCCGCTTCCATTCTTTGTAGTAGCGAGGCGCGTCGATGAGCGGCAACAGAACACCTAGCAAGCGCATGCGCCACAGCCTGGCTAGAAGTAACGTAGCAACATCACGACGACTAGGCAACAACATCACGGCGAGCGGCCATGCATTAGCACGGCACTCTCCTTTGGATCAGGCCCGCAACTGACTGGCAGTGATGGTTGTTGCGTGTGGGTAATTCATTGCATGGCGACAACAAGGAAAAAACATGGCGATATGAGAGAGATGAACGAGGGAGAGAAAGATAGGGAGAGTAGAGCAAGGGCATAAGATGCATCGAGGCGATTCTGGAGAAAGAAAGGGAGATTAGAGAAAGGCTTGTAACTTGCCCTCTCCCTCTAGAATGTTTGAGTAGTTGTATTAGTTCTTGAGGATTTGGATGAATCGTTGCATGATTAGCACTTGATTGAATAAGTGATCCGATCATTCTCGATATATCTGTTATGTTGATTGTCTCATGGTGTTGAGCGTTATCCCCTTGTGGACTAGAGGTAATTAATATTGGTGTGACGAGTGGTTGAGGAGTAGGTATAGTGACACGGCCTTACTCCCTTCGTCCACGATCATCGCAAGAGGGATTAGTGGAGAACCCTAGAACTTAATGTCGTGTCCACGGGGGGAACCCTTAATCATTGTTGTGGTAACCAGAGTGTGGGCACGCGGTGGTAGCACGAGTGTACTCAATAACCGGACTGGGGATGCGTACTTTATTGGCTCCGCCCACGCGAGATCATATCAAGTGGATTAGTGATACCAATGTAGAGCCACGTTTTTGCATGTGTTGTTAGTGTCATACTCGTGGTGATGACTCCGGATCCCTCGAGAACGTTTACTACTCAGACACTTGTGCTATAGTTTAGTCTCTTCAATTTTCTGTCTTTTATTTTTCCATTTGTAGTTTAGTTAAAACCTCCTTTTTATTTATCTTCCTAGCAACTGACCAAAGGAGAGTGTCTTCAAACTCCGGTTTGGGCGCGTACGTAGAAATGATAATGTAGTTGTGAAGTTTGTGATGCCTTCCTATTTGTTCCCTGTGGGTTCGACACTTTCCTTATTGCAAAAGTGCTACAACAGCCCTGTGCACTTGTAGGACATCATCAGTCCCGTCTAAATTTTGAACACGGATGTGTGACCATGCTGCAAAAATACGGGTCAAGCACACACCAGTTTGTTCATGTACCGGCCGTCGGCACTCGTGTATATACGTCCAGCCTCTCCAACACTTGCGCAAAGTATGCAATGTACATTGAGAGGCAACGCCCTGCTGGCCAGGGTGGTGGTATGTTGTCACATACGCAGGAACGGAGCAATGTATCAAGAGGCAACAGAAGGTTGCAGGGGTGGGGTACGCAGCAATGGTGAACCTGGAACGTGGCACTATACATCGAGAGGCCATAGCTTCGGGATGGGGTATCGTGCTATGACTGAAATGGCTTTTTGTGCATCAAGAGGCAGCCGACTATGGCCATAATGGGTCCTATTCATCGAGAGACAACGACTTTGGAGTGGGGGTAACGCGCTATGGCCGCAACGGGATTCTGTGCATTGTGAGCTTGCCGGCAACGGCCGCAACGGGTTCTGGATTAGTCCTCTCTCTTCTCATTTAAGGCTGGCCCCAATGGGGAGTAACATAGAGTAGTAACATACATGCCATGTAAGCATGTTACTACTCTATGTTACTACCTCCACAATGGGTGGTAACTTAGAGGGTTTATTTATTGTTTTTATGGGATCTATAGTAGTACTTCAACTTTGTGATCTATATGTGGCATGTATCAACAAAACTTGTGTTTTTCGATACTTATGGATAAATAAAAGAACACAAATTTGAATCATAACAAATAACAAAGTATAATATTATATTATTGAAATATATAGAACATATTTAGCAATACATCGATCAAGACTTGGATATAATCTATTCGCGCCCAAACTTTCTCCATATATGCTCAATCAAATCATTTTTAAGAGCCTTATGCGTTGGACGATCACGAACTCTAACATCTCTTTCAAGTACCTCGGCAAATTCTGATATGTCACCATGAGTAAATACCGAAGGAAGGGCATTCGATGAGCATGCTTCATAATTCAAGTCAAGAATATTTCCCGCCTCTTCTTGTTCATCATCGACTATCATGTTGTGTAGAATGATGCATGCCAACATAATATTATTGAGATCACCCCGTTCATATAAACGTGCCGGAAGCGGTAAAATAGACCATCGCGCCTACAACACACCAAATGCACGTTCCACGTCCTTTCTTGCTCCCTCTTGATGTTTCGCAAACAACTTGTGCGGTTACTTGGTGTGGCAGTATTGTATAGAGCAGCAATGTCATCCCAAAACTGCTCAGACTTCTTTTCGTTCCCATCAATGGGATTGAGTGAACGAATATCCTTACCAGTCTCTCATGTTCCTCGGGTGTATAGGGCAGACGATATGCAGTCCTAGCTTGCTCCCGATTCGTCGGCATCTACACTCTTGACCTTCCTTTTCTTTTTCTTTGAATCAACTTTGGTGGGAGCAGACTGAGATGAAACATTAGAGTGCGGTGGTGGCGGTGGTGTTGAAAAGGGATCATGTGGGGAAGCACCAACAAAGTGCAAATTCTCCATATTTTGGTATCCTTGTTCATGATGGTGCATTGGCTGAGGTTGAAAATTGTAAGGATTCATGGGCGGTAATTGTCCAAAACTTAGCAGGCCTTCAGGTGCAGAGGTATACATCGGCCTCCTGTTATATTGTAAATATCATAATTAAGAAAGCATTGTCCAAAGCTTGCTATTAGAAACTTTTTTCTGTTCTAATCATTGCAAGAAAAAAGTACAAACAAACAAGCAAAGGACATCCAAGTTCAAGTGTCTGATATAGTAGTAAACCGTTTGCACAATAAGC